AAAGTTTTTATGAAAATAATTGGCACAGGATAAAATACCTTTAAATATGACACAACGTATGCACGTATAAAATACAGAACCCTGACATACAATACAATAAAATATACCCTATGTTTTTATGTGTGGTAATATGATAATATCTACTTTATATCACAATGAAATACTTTATGTGAAATACACCCTAAGTTTTCAATAGGTAATAATATTTAATATGTCTCACAATGAAACACTATATATGTGAAAAACACCTTAAATGTAATTAAATGATATGATAATATACCACTTATGTGTCCTGGTTACTAAGTATATTAATCAAACCTATGGACTACATGTAAATTCAATTCAAATATCTAATTTCAATATAGATGTCTCACCTATGATATGAAATATTATTATTATCTAAGTATAGGTGGCAGTGCTTTCAATACCAAGAAAAGCAATTATAAGTCCACTGTGTTGTCAATAGGTGGAGTGTTATGTAATGTGGCAATATACTATGCTCACTGAAAGGTCACCATGACATGGCATCAATGTCAGTAAACACTCAAAAAACTTGTTTATCACCAGTTTGGATCAATTGTCAATTGTTTCTATTCAATTATACTTCATTGTTTAAATGAAAGAAAAACTTCTTGATTAGCTGTTGATCAGTCTTTCAAAACTGCAGGTGGCTAATATGCTGAGTAGTAGTTGCACTTACTTTGTAGACTGTAGGGACATCTCGGTCTTGGACGATAGCCAATATCTACTTAACATGAGTGAAAACTAAATTGCCATGAAAATGTAAACAAATTCATATGAAAATTTTCAAAGAATTTACCACTCCTGGTACCATTTGTAACTGGTGGGTTCTATGGGAAATCTGTTGTTGCTTTAATCAAATATGAAGATAGTTTTAAAATATCAAAACTTTATTAAAATTACACTTTATTAAAATTACACAGCAACCTTAACATGGCAATGTAGTATCTAGCTAACAGATTCAAAATTGGCTATTTGTAGTTATTACCATTGTACCACTAATTCAGATCCAAAACCAAAACCAAGACCAGCCTATAAATATAAAATACAGAAAATCATGAGTTTCAGTTACACCATTTTGAGATACACTGTACGAAACGCAATTGTACATTTAAAGCTATTAATTGTATCAGTGAATCACGGATTATCCGTTTTATGGCAAAATACTGAAAATACTCATGAAATATAAAATAGTTATTGATTGTGACAATGAAATAAACGTGTCACTTATAATGAAACACAATATGTTTGTCATGTGATGTTAAAATACAGAAATGGAATATTTCTATCAAAATTTATATAACATTTCCATTTACCTGGTCAGGGCTGTAGAGATCTAGGAACTCTACACAGCTGAAGGCTGGTAACATGGGTGATTGACAATGGTATGAAAATCTAGTAGGAGTTCCTGAATACAAATTGAGGTTTCATAAATAATAGTCTATCAGAGACATTGAATACATTGTTTTTATGATTCTAAATGATAGATTAAAGGTTTTGAAGGAAATACTAGTTACCTAATGGTAAGCACAAATTGAATGTTCAAAATACATAGTTGTTGCAATTTGGGCATGAAATACAAAATCTCTCTTGTGAGTTCAAACACTCAAAATACAGAAAAATAACATATATTTAGTTTGAAATGGAGATAATAACATGTTTATCAATTAATTATGGTTGTTGGTGGTTGAGGAACCTTATTGAGGGTTTATGATATAAAATACAAGAAAAACTTACTGTAGGTGTTTCCTGTTCAAATATCCCATTGTCAATGTTGGAGTAGCAAAATGCTCCAATAGTGGCTGGGTTATTTGTCACATGATCGATAAACAAATTATAATGTGAAATGGTGGGAAATTCAAATACAAATATAAAATTACAACTTGAAATATGAATACTCTTTAGATGGTGCTGCCATCTTAATGTAATACGTAAATGTCCCATTTACACAGAGAACATTTGATAAATTTTCATGACTTACATAGTATACAGATCATGACCATGACAAGCCAAAAAACATACATAATATATATTTTTATCATAAACATTTTCTCAAATAATCATTTTATCATTACCTGAATTTTTGTGGACTGAAATGCAAATATAAAGAAAATTGAATAAATAGAAAAATGTTCCAATTTGTATTGGCCCACTCTGTATGTCTTACGTTTTACCTAATATGATATTAATCTGTAAAAAGTAACTTGTGCCACGTCTAGTTTGTAAATGAGAATATAGTAAACTGAATTAGTTTGTTTTCTTCCAACATGGTTATATTAGCATTGTAGGCATTATCCCGATCACAATGGTATATAACAATCCTATATTTGAGAAAATGCACGGAGGAAAATTCAATCCTTATAGACACAGGTCCTTTTAGCAAAATTCAGGAAATTTGATTTTGAGATTTCTTGAAATTTCTTTGGGGTAGGGGTACACCTCACAGATTGCATCACACATTGAGTACACCCAACTGAGGTGAACATGGCCATATGGGGTATCATTGGAAAGCGATTTCTACTATCTTTCAAGTGATATCCATGCCAAGGCGTTCGATTGCATCTTATGACGTCATATTGGTAGGAAGAAACAAAGGTTCATTCAAAACTGCCCCGAAAACAATTGAATGGCACGGGAGAATGGAATTCGGGGTACTTGGCATAGTGGCCTCGCCCCCAAAACAACGAAATTGCTTCAAAATGTCACGATTTTGGTAGCATTGTTCAGCTAAGATACAGCCCTTTAATATGATATGCGCTATTAGGCTTCTCAATGAACTAAAAAACCTCAAAAAGGGATAAAACCTTCAAAATGCCCCCAAAAAGCGCCTTCTAATAGGTTGAAGACCACAGTAGAGTTTCCAATAGGTGGCCATTATAACATTTCACCCTCTATCTTATTAACGATTAGTATCCAAGCCTAGTGCAACATACCACAGTGTTCGGGAGAGACTCGCCTAGCCTGCTATAACAATCTTACCATGGGTTGTCCACCGAATTTTTGAAATAAATAAACTTGAAGACACTAACCCCCTCTATCGTCAAATTTCTCAGAGAATTCTGGTAAAATCACTAACGTCAAAATCACTCCGCCGCCAGCTTAAAATGAGATTTCCCACTGAACTCTGGCATGTTTTCAGATAAATTAGGATCTACCCTATAAATATTTAGTCCCGATTCACTTCCCAAACGCCAGAGGGCGCTCCAATGGGGTAGGGAAGGAGAAAATGACTTTTTATTCAGAAAACCAAATCACTAACGGTAACCGCTAATGTCCTTACTCAGAACTATATCCATCTGATTAGTTATAAAACTACGTTATTACATTATAATACCAATCTAAAGAACATGTTAAGGACTGAACATTTTGGAAAACATTTGTTACTTTAAAGAAGATACTTTTAAACAGGTATGTTCCATCCATATTAAAAAGCATATCATTTGTTGAGCAAGTTTACTTATTGTTAATGTTTGAACTAAACACACAAAACAAATTAAAACTATAATTTCTGTAATAACACTGCAAGGATAAACAATAATTAATAAATAATAAAAATAGCTAGGGTAATAGACACAATAAATAATGCTTTATAACAAAACACATTTGCAACGAGGCATAACATAATGCGATACTAAAACATATTGTACGATAATCATTTAAGGATGTAAGCTCTGGACTCGGTGCAGTGTGGAATGACCATTCCTTGAAGGTGTTGCTTTCCAAAATTTGCACGTGATGCGCGGCATCGAGTGTTAATTATTTGAAACAACGCCTGAAAGGAATGGTTATTCCACAATTCATTGAGTCGTTTGAGGTATTTTCACACGTTGCAATATATTCCCTACCATATCACCTAAAAGATATGAAATCACTAAAAACATTCCTAATGAATTTTTGCAAGGCTCAAGTTGGCAAAATATCAATTTTAATATATAAAGTCAAGCTATCACCTTGACAACCACATAAAGAGTGACCTTGGATGCGGTTATTAGTTATATAAAGCACTGCAGTAATATGAAATACTTTGTTCGGATTGGTTGGAATCGGACACACCTTGCCAGGCTATGTGTGGATTTGTAATAAACAAATGCTAATTGTAACGACTGAGCTAGAGAAATGTAGAGTTAAATTGAGCATAATATTGTTTTTTTATATTTTGAATTATTACGTATTAAAACTGAATTTACATTGACGTTATTAAACAATTGCGAATATCATTGAACACAGCACTCCAGCTATGAAAACTCATAATGCCAAAATGATGACAAGCTTAACGTTTAAACACGCTGTGTTGACTGGAATTACATTCATAAGCCTTTCAGAATTCTATTTAACTATAGTTGGAGCAGCAATAACTGAAAGTGCGTTCAACCGACTTGTAAAAAGGGTTAACAAACTCTCAAATGCTGTTGTAGAACAACAAAAAGATCTTAAAGACCAGGCTTCTGAAATAGCTAATTTGGAGAGAAACGCCATCAAGCAGGAAATACTAATTGAACAATTGAACACAATTTGTAATGAAAAATGTAGAGTTGTTGAAGGTCAGAAGGGAGAAAGGGGTTTCCGAGGAAAGCGTGGATATCCAGGGAAAACAGGGCTCAATGGAAACGCAGGTGTTAATGGTACACAAGGGCCTATTTGATTTCCTGGGGTAAAAGGTGATCAAGGTGATCGAGGGTCTACAGGAGCAATAGGTCCACCGGGGCAAAAGGGTGCAAAAGGTGATCGAGGGCCTACTGGGCCAAAAGGTGACCTAGGGTCTACAGGAGCAACAGGTCTACCGGGGCAAAAAGGTACAAAAGGTGATCGAGGGTCTACAGGAGCAACAGGTCCACCGGGGCAAAAGGGTGCAAAGGGTGACCGAGGGTCTACTGGGCCAAAAGGTGACAAAGGGTCTACAGGAGCAATAGGTTTACCGGGGCAAACAGGTACAAAAGGTGATCGAGGGTCTACAGGAGCAACAGGTCTACCGGGGCAAAATGGTGCAAAAGGTGATCGAGGGCCTACTGGACCAAAAGGTGGCCAAGGGTCTACAGGAGCAACAGGTCTACCGGGGCAAAAAGGTACAAAAGGTGATCGAGGGTCTACAGGAGCAACAGGTCCATCGGGGCAAAAGAGTGCAAAAGGTGATCGAGGGCCTACTGGGCCAAAAGGTGACCAAGGGTCTACAGGAGCAACAGGTCTACCGGGGCAAAAGGGTGCAAACGGTGATCGAGGGTCTACTGGGCCAAAAGGTGACCAAGGGTCTACAGGAGCAACAGGTCTACCGGGGCAAAAAGGTACAAAAGGTGATCGAGGGTCTACAGGAGCAACAGGTCCAACGGGGCAAAAGGGTGCAAAAGGTGATCGAGGGCCTACTGGGCCAAAAGGTGACCAAGGGTCTACAGGAGCAACAGGTCTACCGGGGCAAAAGGGTGCAAAAGGTGATCGAGGGCTTACGGGGCCAAAAGGTGACCAAGGGTCTACAGGAGCAACAGGTCTACCGGGGCAAAAGGGTGCAAAAGGTGATCGAGGGCCTACTGGGCCTAAAGGTGACCAAGGGTCTACAGGAGCAACAGGTCCACAAGGGCAAAAAGGTCAAAAGGGTGAAAAAGGAAACTTCGATGATAGTAAGTATTTGTTAATTAATTGTGTCAATCGTTTCATGATTTAATATTACTCGTATTTGAATATCAGTCGTGTTGGAAATGCAATATATCCGTAAATGATTTGTCTGAAAACTGCCACTTGTTCGCCAAACTGGTAAAATGATCACAATATTGCACAATTTGATAATATAATGATGGAACTATATTGAACATTTGACAGGTTGCCAATGGACAGTTTGGTCGGCGTGGAGTGTTGGTCCTTGTAGTAAACAATGTGATGGAGGGACACGTCGGGATACAAGAACTAGACAATACACTCTTTGTGCATCTGGTACAGTTACGGAATCAAGGACCACTCCGTGTAACACACATAAATGTAAGCACAAAGTATTATACGTTTTCAAAATAGAGCTCCTAAACACCTCAACCGGCACTTTTAATTGACGTGATGTCTGTCATAATGACTGATAAATATAGTCTTTAATTCTTCGGGGCATGGCAAACCACCTATTTTTAAACGTTTGTCAAAGTCAATGACTTTAAAGAGACATAGCCATTGCAGGGCGCACAGACTAGTAACGGCGTACAATGTACGAGCGAAGCGCGGGTGCCGTGCGTTCGTTGTGAGCACGAACGGCACAGGGCATCCCAATGGCATGGTAGGGTATAAAGTTCGTAATGAATTAGAATGAATGTAGGCGGTTCTATGTTTGGTATATTAACGAAGACGCAATTCACATATCGTGAAATAGTCAGAAATAGATACTCAAATGCTAATTTTAAATGAAATTTTACTAATGATTTTCAAAACACCAAACTGAAATGCCCGCGAAAAATATTGCATCAAAATGCTGAACGATATGGTCCTAAAATACAAAACTAATTCAATTTTTCTGCTAAATTCGCTGAGGTGTACCACAAGTTGTTCCGAAATAAGTATTAACTTAGGTGATATGTTTTCTCCGCCGCAAAATTGAAGTTGATAAATTGTATAGGTAGATCATGAAACCAAACCGAAAATAATTAGTCCTCATCCGGGTACTGTTCCATCATCCAGATTCTCAAACTGAAACATGGCGCAAGAAACCTTTCAAATCTTCGATTTGGGTTTCTCGCAAAAAATGTTCACTATAGTTGCTATCACTGTGAATGGATGCAGGTTGTACGTACATATACAGGGTGTTCAAAAAAAAACGCAACCCAAAGAAATCGCAATATCTTGAAAAATACTGGTTCAATTATGTTCATATTTTCAGGAAATAAAGAAGAGACTGTGTATGTATAGCTCCTGTAAATGGTTAGTTGTAAAACATGATGCCTTGGACACCTGCTCAAAAGACAGTTGTTCTAGGAAAATACGAAAAACGCAGTAAGGGGTGACTGCAACCTCAAAAAAATTAAATAACTTTCTAACCATAGTGTTTTGGCTCTTCAAATTTGGCACAAATCAACTTCATTTGTATGATAAATCTGTAAAGTGAAATCAAAATCACTTCAGGGACTTCACAGTTATGGTTGAAATGCTTTCAAATCGCAGTCAAACGCCCTGGTTCAGGGAGACTTAAGAAGGCATTTTGACCATGACTGTAAAGTATTTGTATGTCATATTTTGATGAAACTCCACAAATTCACCACACATTGAATGAGGATAAGTTATGCCAAATCTGAAGTGCCAAAACACCATGGTTAGAAAGTTATTTGGTTTTATTGGTGTGGTAGTCACCGGTGACTGCGTTTTCATGTTTTCCTAGAACAACTGTCATTTGAGCAGGTGTCCAAGGCATCATGTTTTACAACTTACTGACAACAGGAGCTATACATACACAGTCTCTTCTTTCTTTTCCTGAAAAAATGAACATTATTGAATTAGTATTTTCGAAGATATAGTGATTTTCCATTCGCGTTTTTCGTATTTTGCTAGTAAAACTGTCTTTTGAGCAAGTGTCCAAGACATCATGTTTTACAACTAACTAACAACAGGGGCTATACATACACAGTCTCCTCTTTCTTTCCTGAAAATATGAACGTAATTGGATGAGTATTTTCCAAGATATAGCGATTTCCTTGGGTTGCGTTTTTTTTGAACACCCTGTACAATGATGAGTGCAAGGTGCTTCATAATGAAATTATTTCACAAAGAAACGTTTGTCTTTTTTTTCATGGATTACCAGTTTATACCAGTTTGTACCAGTTTATATGAAAGCTTTAACTATAAAATAGAAGTGATTTATTTTATAGGTTGTCATTGGAGCAAGTGGAGTTCATGGCAATATAGACCATGTTCCACAACATGTGGGACTGGAACGAATTTCAGAAGTAGAACACGGTCGAAGCTCCCGGGAGGTTCAGGATGCCCGGGTGTTTCTATTGAAACGGGATGTGTGACCTGTTACAGTCGTTGTGGTAAGACAAATAGTATTTCAAAAAGCGAGAAAAAGTAATATCAAAGTATAGAATTATCCGGAAAAGTAACTCCAGATGTCCAAAAATATAATTTTTCGCTCAAATATCCAGACAATTTAGTGATTTTAACTAACGTCGAAGACGGAATTAAAAAGTTTCAGTACTCTTGCAATTGATAGCAACCCAGAAACAGTAATCAAAATACTAATACAAACACTCCGTCTTAAATAATTGATGGAGCAGAAAAACAGTTTTATGTTTAACCCTTATGTCTGCAAGGGGGGGGGGTCAAATCGACATATACTTTCGCTAGTTTTTGTGCCTCTATAATCTCCTAGCTCGAGTCACAGATAAATGACATTTTTTGGCATGAAAATCAAGGTTATTTTGGGCAGACGAGCAAAGTTATGATAGTCGGAAGTTGATGACAATAAAGTAAAATATTGTATTACAAAGTGATCATAATTGATGTGATTAATAAATAATTATTTAGCACATTTGAATTTTATTCTTATTATGCTTCATTTCAGGGAAATCGAGCCACTATTCTAACCTATCCTCATTTTTATTCCCCTTTGCACGATTTTTCAATTTCACTAATTCGATGTATCGTTGCTAGGTGGTTGCTAGGGACAATTGTTGACCGAAATTATATATATGGAAATAATACCAAGTAAAGTATTCATCTGTTTCTAACTAAATCACTGATTGGAATGTGTTGTACATCTTGAAATATGAATGCTAGATACAAAAACAAGTTGATCTAATGGGATTTCGCGATACATTGCTATTTTTGAAAGTGCATAAATTCAGTTATAGAAATGTTTTTCGTTTGAAAAATAACATATTAATTTTTAATGAGGGGTAGCACTTTTTGGAACTAAAACATTTCATTTTGAAATAAAATTGACAATTTATCACATAATGTCAAAAATGTTTACCCCCTAGGTCAGGTTGAAATAGATTTAACCTTTTTTGACCTACTTATTTGAAAAAATTATTTCTGAAGAGCCAATTGAATCTTGTTTACAGCATACTAACATTTAAATCAGACAAGTGATACAAAATCGCAGATTGGGTCCAAATGCCCCCCCCCCCCCCACCGCAACTTAGTGTAATAAAAAATGAGTAGACATTAGTCGATTCACGTCCTTCAGTACCAGATAAAAAAATTGCAACAACAAATAGAAAGAAGTTGGGTACCCTTGAACATAATGCACATTGTGGTGAACTTTTCAGGTTGTTATTATGGCGGTAAAGAATATGCAGAGGGAAGCTCAATTCCATCCACTCATGGTTGTATCGCGTGTACATGCAGAAATCGACAAGTTGTTTGTACCGGGACTATATTATGTGGTAAGTCCAAAGTAGTTTCTAGGTCAAATTGACTCACAAAATAAACCAAATCGTGAGGATAAAACGTCGTCGAAATTTACATTAACACTAGATTATCTCATTACTATACACGTTAATTGATTGTATACGACTCATGAACGATTGAATAACTGTTATTGTTAAGGCATTTCACTATAGAATAACGTTTGATATCTGATGTAGCGTGGTCCACGTTTTATACTTAGCATATCTGGCATTTTATATCATTGCCAGAAATCGTGTGATTTGATTGGCTGATTCAGTAACACATGCTCAAAATACCATAACGTAGCTCCCTGAATTAATGGATTATAAAAGACGAATTGCCCACCTGGGAATTCTGACAACTGCACTGGACGAAAATATAAGTGTACTATACAGCGATACTTGTACGTAATTATGTTAACTGATGGGATTATGATATATTTTTTGATGAAAATAAATGTACAAGGGTAAAAACTATTCTATATTTCTTTGAAATGCAAAGTGACCGTAGAGAATGTCTAGCAATTATATAATAAAACAAATATTTCACTCTATGTTCGAGCAATACCTGTTGCACTCTCAATAATTTTGCAGCATGTATTTCCTTCGCCCTATGGGCTGCGGGCAATACATACTGCAAATATCATTGAAATATGACCAGGTATTGCCCTCCCTAGGATGGAATAGTTTGTGGTGAATAATACGTCGCGGTGTCACTATAGTGAACTTCGAATGTTTGCCTAATTTTCAGCCTGATGATGAATACCTCCCTCCGTTTTCATCAGTAGTATCTAAGGCCGCGCTATGATTTCAAAGTAGCGAGTAAGTTCCCGCTGAAATCACGAGGAATAAAAAAGTGATGGGTCATCTTTTGTTCACTTGAATTGCATGATGTACAAAACGTTTTCTTTTAATTTGCCCCAATGATTACATTTATATTGAGAACTGCTGAAAAAAGTGTCACGAGCGGTCGTTCTGTGGTTCTTTATTTGACAATTTAAGATTGAAAGTATCATATTGAACCTTTATCTACATATTTCTATACGTTATAGGTGAAGAACGATGTTGTCCTGTGGTTGAAATAATGATGGTGATTTGAAATAAAAAAAAAGTAATGAGTTTCACTTCCTAAAGCTTTGCAGAACACTTTATACTTCAATTTTATCATATCTCTCAAGGCCCAGCTTCTAGCAGGAGCAATAAAGCAAAGACCCCGCAAACCATGAGGATGCCCCGCTGAAAACATGAGGAGGTCCCGCTG